ATTAGAGACCACACAGACCCACACAGACATTGGGCCAGCCCCTACCCCTAGCCTCTCCATCCGTTTTACGACAGCAGGCGATCGCAGAGTCCCTAGCTTGTTCAGACACAGAAGTTCCGCAAGTTCAACCTGGAAAAAGGGCTTGCAGAAGCAGCAGCAGCAGCAAAATTAACCTGGTTCCAAAGATTCTTGGAGGTTGTTGCTTCGCCCCCCGCACGCGCATCGGCGGCATCGACGTCAATATGGGCGACGTGGTGGGCATGGGACGGTCGCACAACCCAGCATGCGCCCGTGCCGCGGCTTGCCTGTCCTTGACACCCTTTTCTTCGGGCAAGGGTCCGAGGATCTCGTTCCCATGTGGGCAAAAACGGAGCCCAATTGCTTTCGCGGCAGCCTCCATGGCGCCACGATACAGTTCCGGGGTCGCGGCTGCGGCAGACAGCAGCGCCTCGTCAATAACATGCGGGTTGTCCGTCGCATCGTACTCGCTAGTCGTTGCCTCCCAACACGCTAAAACCTGCCCCTCATCCATTGTGTGTGCCATGCTGGTGTCTTTTGTCTCGGTGTGTGGAACAAGCGGACCCAGCAGTCACGTATCAGTTTAACTCCAATATACCCACTGCGAACCTCACTCCAGTCCCCCAGTCTGAGGAATGGTACGTTTCTCTCTCCAACTATCTCTCCCCTAGACTATACTTTTTTAGTTGTTTGCACCCCACGGACGATGTTCCGCATGAGATTTTGTGCGGAAGACTGCTGTATTTTGGTGCATGTTTAGCACAGCAGCAGCAGCAGCCATCTGATATCGTGACATCCGAGCGCAGACAACGATATTCAGCATGGTCGATACCTTTCTTTGACGAACACAGGGGGCACACGTAGGAACAGCGTGCAACTCTGCATGAGTTGCTTTGCTGCTGCTGCTCTAGACTAATTGCTTTTGTCCATCTATAAATGTACAACGGCGCGGACGGAGGGAGATGAGACATGCATAGAATATGGCTGTGTACGGTCTCCCTTCTTCCCCTCGCTCCTCGACAAGCTTTTGCTTAGACATGGGTTGTAGCGAAGGGGGGGGTCTTTCTGGCGAGCAGGGCTAGACTCACCCTCAAGGGATGACCGAAACCTTCTTGCTGCTGCGCATNGCCTCAGTAACCTGGCTTCGCCATCAAAGGAGGAGGGTATTCGATAAAGTTACACCAGTAGACTAGTCAGCGACTAGTCTACTGCTGACTAGTCTACTGGTGTAACTTTATCGAATAAAGATATACGCTCAGGTCGTTAGCACCAGGCTGGATCACATTTTTGGGGTTTACGGCTTGGATCTCCCGGGACGGACCCCTCACCAGGCGCTGACTGCAAAGAACATAATGGTTCTTGGGAAAGCGAGTAGCCGGGATTCGAACCCGTGCGTGAAACTTTTGTCGTCAAGTGTTAAACCATTTGTCCAGTTAGCGCTGACTTGTCCAACGGTGTAACTTTATCGAATAAAATATATGCTCGGAGCTCATTCGCACCCGGCTGGATCACATTTTTGGGGTTTATTGCTTGAACCTCCGGGGGCGGACCCCTCGCCAGGCGCTGACTGAAACGAACATAACGGTGCTTGGGAAAGTGAATCGCCGGGATTCGAACCCGTGCGTGATACTTTTGTCGCAAGTTGTTAAACCATTTGTCTAGTCAGCGCTGACTTGACGCAGGTGGCGACGAGCTGAACTAGGCTGGTTGACAATTCGGCGCGAGAATTTTTATTTTTTTCAGACCAAGAACCTTGAGTGCAATGAGGGAGAAAGCGAGGAACGGACTGGGAAGGACAGCAACGAGAGCGTGTACGAACGGTGCAGGTCGAGTGGCGTTTTGCTCGGGCTGATTACAGCGGCGCCGGATGGAGCAATGGCACCGGAGCATGCGGGCGACATCGACCCGTGGCGCACGGACAAACATTTNCCCGTCAGAGATGGCGTGGCTAATCCGGGTGCATTGGTATTGTGCCCGATCGTGGAAGACCCCTTCAATGTGCAACGATTCTTAGCTAGTGTCGATATTTTTCACTGCAGTGCCTACACAGACGATCGGGAGAGATTCGGGTGATTGTCAATTGCTGCTATGATGGCTTTGGTTGGTTGTTCTTTTTCACTGTA